TCCACCAAGTTCATACTACACTTGTGGCTAAAATAGCAATTCTCTACATCTTGTCTAGAAATACATGCTATGCTGGATGCTGTTTAAAAAAAGCCAAGTACTGAGCTTTCATCTTCTCCCAGCTTATCAAATATTTGGTTTGGTCCTAAGTATCTTCCTAAACGATTAGAGGGGGAATAGCAGGGTATTCCCCAGGCACCTGGTGAATCCACAATGGATTTATTGTAGAAACAAGCTGAATTCTCTCACTCACTCCAAATGGATTTGGGAGCTCTCTAAAACCCTCCAGAGAATGAGCTGTTTGTGACACAACAAACAAAAGCCAACACCAAGTTCAATGAGGAAGTCGTCTTGCGTTGTGCAGGGAGCATCCAAAATAAAATGCAAATCCAAGCTAAGGGGCTATGCCTGTCCCATCTCCCGATGCCGGACTGAATGTCGGCAGTGCAGGAGCCTGGGGCGAAGTGCACGTGTCTGGCTGACAGCACTAACCCTGCTGCCGACCTGAGGAGGAACCGCTGACACCAGACGGACATATCCGAGCGCACGTGCCGGGGACAACCCGTACTCTGCTCCTTCTCCTCTCGCCTGAGCTCTGACACGCCACATGCGGGTTCTGCTCTCAGCCATTCGCCCTCACCAGATCCAGGTTCCCCCTGCAGCCCTCACAGCATTGACAGAGACCTCATATTAATGGGTACTTATACAGGATTAATTGCACATCAGTCCATTGTGGCTACAAGTTCATAAGGCTAATAAATCTACATAGTGACAGTAGTACAGTATCAGCTACTTTTCCATACAAACTCCCTACCCTAGCCTTAATTTGTAGGTCAAACGAAGATCTTCTACCGCACTGACCTTCAACATTCATTTTAACATTTTTTTTCTAGAAAAAAAAAATCCAGTGTGGGGAAAACACACATATATAAACAAAAGCAGTGCTTAACAACCACAGGAAAAAAAAGAACGTGATCTTGGACTCTATCAGCATCCTCCGTAGACCCTGGCGGCATTACTTCCGAAGGGTTGCTAAATCCCGCTCCGTCCGTCTGCTCTCAAGTCTGTTAAACCATTCCCTGGCTCCAGACAGTTCCAGTCGCTCGCTCTACCTACTGCCCGCAGCAAGGGCGGACAGAAACACTCGCTCATGTGCACAAGACTTCCACTGGATTTCATGGAACAGTTTTAGAAGACCGGAGTCTGTCCGTTCTTGAGTGGCAGAGCTCTCGCCGACGGGTTCTGTCTCGCCCAGGAGAGCTCCAAGTCCCCCAAAGTTTCACTCATTCGTTCTGCCCAAAGGTGTACGAGTGTCTGAAAACCCCTCTCACAGTATTCCCAGGAAATGATTCAGAAGAGGAGATGATTTTTTTTTTCCCAACCAAATGAGATCCTCTGGTCCTGTGTGTCAGACCATGGCCAATGGAACGAGCAGCTGCCATGGACGTTGCAACTTAAATACGGAACAGTCAAGGGAGGAGAGCAAGGTGGCCTGACCGTCCTTCCCGTGAGGTACAGGCAAAGAGACACCAAAGTCACTCTGCTGTCAAGTTTGGCTCTTTCTGGAGTCAAATGTTTGATTCCATTTGTTCTAGCAGAAAGTGGTGAATCATGTCAAAAGTGGGACGATCTTTTATATCCCTGCTCCAACACTTCAGCATCAGGTCAAACACAGGGTTAGGACACAGAGGAGTCTGGGAGAGATAGATCTGCAAGGAAGAAAGACACAGCTCTCTCAGTGGGCTTCTCAAACAAACTGCACCTCTACTACATTAAACCCAAAGACAGTTCTCCATTACAAGACAGGGCCATCATGCAACGTTTGAATGCAGCAAACACCAATCTGGCAGCGAAGTCCGGATGGGGCTCCGGCGCCACCGCCGACACTTGGCCAACTTGGTGGATGAGCTGGTGACACCACAGTCCTTTGTCCCCCAGGCAACATGAATGCTTCCGAGATTGGTCTTCCAAGTGACAGCAACACACAAACCAAACCCAAATTTACCACAATAAAATCCAAATACTTTCACTCACCGTAGACAACCCATGAGGCTTTCTAAGCACCGTGACAGCTTGTTAGCAGAGACAGAAAAAACACCTTTTAGAGCTTATCTGAAGCACAGCTTGGCAAAATTTATTTTTTCCCCCCTCTCATTTCAATACACATCTCTTAGGCTCTTTGCTAAATCATTAGTATCCAGGAGACAGTGAATAAAACCTCCCGTTATTTTATTCCCCTTCACTTGTTTGGTGCTAAAGCTGAATTTTGGGAGAACAGCAAACCACTGGCACTGCACTTTGTGGGTACAGTGACCCTCAGCAGCGAGGGGCTGGAGTGTCCTGCTCTAGGAGCATCACCACGGCTATCTACTGAAGGCAGCAGCAGCGGGGTGCAGAGTCCTGCCTGGCGGTTAGCGAAAGAGGGCGGAGGGATACAGAAAATCCGTTCAGCAGCTAGAGATGGCCAAAGGCTTCTCGGCATACACGGAGATACTACAGAGAGTATCTAGCCCCAGGCACTAACAACTCCTTCCCCACCTCAGTCAGTGCTTCTTTCAGAGAAAATGCTAGTGGGAGCACGATCTGACAACAAAAAAAGAGCACAAGGATGGTGTAGAAGAGCCCGGAAACGCGGAGGAGGACAGTGCCTCAAGGGCACACACTGAACAGGAGTGGCTCATAAGGAAGAAGCACTGGACAGGGCCAAGAGATTCTTCCAGCAGGACTCCCCGAGAGGAAAGCTGGTGCAA